CTGGTTTACCAAACTGTTGTGTCCCTTTGGGCGCTACTTTGAGAAGATCTAATTGGTTGCCCCTCTGCTCCATCTCAAATTTCAATCAAGACAGTACTGAAAGTCCTAAATTGTCTTAGAGTAACTTTTGAATGATCTAACAAGAATATGGAGAATATAATGTTTCTTATATTTTAAGATCGACATGAGTACTCAACAGTGCACTTGCTGCAGCTGTTCTCCAGTTTTGTGAAGTACTGTGTAGACTTTTTAAGTCCTTCATGGAGAACTTGAGAGAATCTTTGTTACGATCTGTGTATGTTGCATTATATATCAAGCAAGAAAATACCTCATGATTGGTATGTCATTGGTAAATGTGGCTTTGGAAGGAACTCAATTGTTTTCTAATTGTGGCAAATTGTATTATGCACTCACTTGGTTTAATGCTGCCCTTTGATGCAGTAAATGCTTAAGGGTCCTGGCAGGAATGAGCGTTTACTAGTTGGTAATTTTCCAATTTCAAACACAGTGAGAATATTATATTTGTTTGTTGGAGTCTTGGCAGGAAACTCTTCAGAATCAGAGGTTCCTCGAAGCAATCATTCTTAAATGGCTGGGTTCAGCTTGGATGAAATATGCAAATTCATGACAAGGGTGGGTGACAATTCAGATGGACATAAGAATTCTATTTCCAGTAGGGTAAGATGTCTGAGTGATGCCCGCGAACTATTGGTGATTATGGTATCTAGCAGCCTGTCGTTATTAAAGAACAACTCTGTTTCCGTATTTCAAATTATAAGTGCTGCAACATCTATTTCTTCAACTAATTTCTCAATTGGAGTTTGAAAGGTCAAAGTAACCCTACCTCTGATAAGTTTCTTTCCTCTGTTGTTCTTTCCTGCAGACTCCAAGATGTTGAATCCTTATGTGCTTATGCTTTGTCGTCCATTTATTTCCTGTTATACAATGACGTGATTGCTTGTTAGAGAGCTCATCATTCACGATAAAGGAACCTGCTCTGATGTTTATAACATGGCAGTGAACCATTAGTGATTGTGGCCATGAAAGCTGAAGATGCCATGACCAAGTGCTGATACTATGCCCTTCTCGACTGAAGCAACTATTCTTGCTGGTTGGTCCTAACATTCTTCCACTATTCCGGATAGGTAAGCGTTCACTCCAATTACATCTGGGTAAGTTTCATTTATTCCCTAGTTCTCTTTATGGTTTTCAAATCAGACGATTCGAATGGTTCCATTTGTTTGTGGCACTAGGTGATATGATACTTCTGAGAGTTGGTTTGGTGAACTTTTTTGGCGTGGATGCAATTCTTTCGGGTGAATTGGTTTGGGTTGAGGTGTTATTGATGGCTTGCGGGTAAAAGGATAATGAATCTGCAATTTATTTGCTTCGTGAGCCCTAATTCTGATAGTTTTAAGATACACGAGTTGTGGATCCGTCTTTTTTCTTCTGATACAGAATTTGTGGGTGATCCATTCAGGGATATGCAAAAGTTGATGGGAACGCGGGTAATCGGTGGTGCGATTTTTATGTACGGTATGTTTGTTGGTTTCTTTGACAGTAACAAAGTCGATGGTTAGGGTTTTTTCATTGTTCAGGCCAGTTAGGGTGGGTGCAGCCATGATTGTGCGCTCGTTGTGGATATAACCTTGCGAGTCTTTTGGGTATACATTTATGTCGAGAAGGGCAAGTGTTTTCATGACTATGATATATTACATGAGTGGGCGGTCCATGTTGTCGTATTGTCGCTTGGAGGTGAAATCGTTTCCTCTGGTATACTTCCTTATGTCCCTTCTCTGTTGCCTAGACTTTTTTATCCGGATGGAAAATCTCAAGAGTTGCGCCTTAATTTGTTTATCAAAGCACTAGTTGCGATAACTATCTTTTGCTGTATTATTCTTGGTGGATGATGCCTGCTCGGTTGTGTCCATTGCCACCTAGTTTCCCTATATTTCTGCACTTATTAAATTGTTTCATTCAAGTTCTGCCAATTGTAATAGATAAAAGTAAATCTGAAATCTGCAATGTTCATTCAATCAGTGGCCTCCTCGTGTTCCGTTGTAGTCCGGTGACCCACAAATATCTGTTGCCATCTTGGTCTAAGTTGAAGCGATGGTTTAGCGACTATAGTTACCTTTTCTGCTCTATCCTTTTTAATGGAGTCCTAGATGGGAGTTTTGGAATGGTTAATAGAAACCAAGTACATGCATGGATTGGAGGCCATGTTTGAGAAACAAAGTTGTTCCGCAAATTGTCCCATTTTTCCTATAATTGAAGTTGTCCCTAACCATTCCAGCTGCCCTTCTGCTCTATCCTATTCAGTGAATGCCTTAACTAGAGTCCTAGATGGGAACTTTGGAATGATTAAATACTGGCTGAGAAAGTACATGAATTGGTGGCCATGTTTGAATAACAATGTTGTATGTCCGAAATGCCAGCAATAATTTAATCATTCCAGTTGCCCTTCTGCTCTAGTTGTGTCCCATTTTTCCTATAATTGAAGTTGTCCCTAACCATTCCAGCTGGCCTTCTGCTATATCCTATTCAGTGAATGCCCTTAACTAGAGTCCTAGATGGGAACTTTAGAATGATTGAATACTGGTGAGAAAGTACATGGATTGGTGGCCATGTTTGAGTAACAATGTTGTATGTCCGAAATTCCAGCAATTATTTAATCATTCCAGTTTGCCTTCTGCTCTATCCTGTGAAGACAAAGTCTTATATGGAGTCCTAGAAGGGAACTTTGGAGTTGGTGTTTCCAACTGAATATACATGGACTGGTGGCCATGTTGTTGCTCTAAATACTGTGTCCCTCTGCTCTATCTGGTGAAGAAATGGTCATAATTTGGGATCCTAGCCGAGATACTAACCGATTGATACTTGGACTTGTGGTCATGTTATTGCTCTAAGTCTTGTGTCCCTTTTCATGTTATTTAAGATGATATTATTTGCAACTACTGTAATGAACTAAAGGTTGCATGTTTGCATGGCTTTCGATTTGAACTTTGATATTTGACTTGTGAATGCAAGTTATTACTGGAAGGTCTTGGAAATGTGACTTTTATACTGTCTGCTTAAAGATTATGGTTGTGACAAGCGAGCAAAAATTAAATCAGATCTGAAAGTAAAAGGCTGCTCAGTCTGGTTGTTCTTTTGCCTTTTTGACACATCAGTTTGAAATATGTTGGTTTGAATTTATACCGGTTCCTTTCTTGGGGATTTGGTGTTGCAGTAAATTATTAATAGGAAGGCACAAAAGGGAAGCTTTTCTTACTTATTTGTCTTATTTGAAGATTCAGATTATGACCATGTAATCTTGCCAGTGTTGGCTTTCTGCCTTCAGAATCGGGGTATATCATCAGGATGCTTAAGTGAAAGTAAAAGGTAATGGATTAGGATGTTCCTTGGTTGTACCACGAGGCTTTGGCTGGGATTCATTATTCTCCAGTAGTTTCAAATTGTACATGTTGATGGGACAAAAGAAATCTCTTGTTTAATACTAACTTTTGAATCAGTAAATCCTTAAGAAGGGTCCTAGCAAGGAATAGTCTTCACTGGTTGATGATTTTCCGATTTCAAACACAAGAAGAATGTAAGTTTGCAGTAATTTGGTTCCTGTCATGAACATTCAATTGCATTTCTTTTCGTATCTTAATACTCTCATAAATAAGTTCTTGGGAGGGAAATCTATCTTCTCATGACTCGACTGATTAATATAAGTCTTTTGCTTCATCTGTGGACCGAAACTCATTTGTTTGATTGATATCTTGAGACTAGAAAGATACTTGGAAAGGGTTGTGGATAGAAGCCATTTAGCTAGACTGTTTCTGCCTCTTTCTTACATAATAATGCAAGCCAGAAGTTATAAGCTGGAGGGACATTGCTCTTCCAAACAGAATGCAGGCTCACAAGGTTCCTATCCTAAACATTCACTCGGTGTCCCCGGGGTAACTATTATGCTGGATTTGTACATGTATATTGTTTTGACACTATTGAAGGGAAACATCTTGCTTTCTGGTCATTTCTGGTCTAAGCATTCACACCTTCAAAACATATTTGCTTGCTGCTGGATTCTCACCGGGAGACACTTAAGAGGGGGTCCTATAAGCGATCCTGCTTAAATGGTTGGGTTTGGCTTGGTTGAAACATGCAAGTTCATTACAAGTCCAGGTGGAAAATTCAGGTGGAGCTAGGAATTCAATTTCCAGTTCTCTTCATGATGTCCAAGTGATGTACGCCTACTGTCAGTGATTATGATGCCGAGCACCCTGTTGTTGCAAAGTAGAAAAGAAAGGATCTTGCAGAAAAACAACACCTTTTTCGGTCCTTCAGAATTTTCCAGCAGTACCATCTGGTTCTTGAATTCATACTTCACTTGGAGCATGTTTTGGAAGATTAGGATAACCCTACCTCTGATAAGTTTTGTTCTTTTGTGGGATCTTCTTGCACAATCCAGGATGTTGATTATGCTGTGCTACTCTTGTTGTTCGTTTTTATTTCCTTAGAAATGCTGAAATGAAAGTATTGATGGTACCCTATCTGTCACATTGTGCTGGAAGTGTAAATTGTTGCTAGTAGTACCTTGGAGTTGAGAGAAAGTAGTGAGCTGAACCTGATCGATTACATATGCATCTACTTCATGGATTCTTTCCGCTGATGTCCTGAAGTTGCATTTTAAGATCAGTTGCATTCACAAACTTGGAAAGTCGGTTGTGCATTCCCATTGGAAGGAGGTAATGCTGTCCACTGCTGCCTTCCTTCTGTAATGAAATTTTATTCATTCCTCAGTTATACTATGCTATTAAGGAATGTGCTCTGATGTTATAACGTGACTGTGAACACGTAAAGCTTATGTTGGATCTTTGCCTCACCAAAGCCATTCCCTTTCATCTGGTCTTGTGTGGGAAGAACTAAAAAAAATACAGATCCTTATTACATCTTACCACTATTTATTTATGATAGATACCGTTTTCGATAGACCTGTTATTGCTGTTGGCCTTCTTATGCTCTCAAACCCAGCAAAGAATGAACTTTCATGTAGTGCAATGTTCTAAACTATTATGCCTTCATGTTGAATGCAAATGCATCATCTACCTGCTTCTGTTCTTTATTATCTTCGGCTCAGTTCTTGATGCTTGAATGGGCTCTAGGAGAAGCCTGTCTCAGCCCACATATTTAATGGACTAGCCAGGCAGAGATGGGCCAGTCCATTAAGACCTCTCAGCCACGGCCCACAAACTCTACCCCGTTTCTTCCCCTCGTCGGTTGTACTTGTGGTGGTCTCGCGTTTCTGTCACTGAAGTTCTGATTTCTGAAGCGATTGATGAACCTTTTCGCCTCGCCGCCGGAGTGTTGCCGTCAAAGTAGAAGCCTGTAAGTCCGGTAGATAGAATCAATAAGCAGAATCCAATTCTTCCTCACCCTAATTTGATGTTAGCTTCCTCGACGAAGACTTTGCCTGACACAAGTAATGAATTACACCGAAGGAGCTCTGATTTTGACCGCGCTGTTCTTTCCGCTTCTGATTCTCCTCTACAAGCTGTGGCCGGGAAGGAGAAGCTCTGATGACTCGAACGATATCGATAATGGTTCTCCGCATGCAGTCGGATTCTAAGCCTTTGCCGCCTCTTCCGATTGGGGAGTACGAAGTGTTTTTGAGTTTCAGAGGTGCTGACACTCGTCACCAGATCACCGATATCCTATACCATTTTCTGGCCCACTTGAAAATACGTTACCTTCAAGGACGACGATGAGCTCCGGAAGGGGGAATGGATATGGCCGAGTCTAGTCAATGCTATCGAGCAATCCAAGATCTATGTTCCGGTTTTGACAGAGAACTATGCTGACAGCAAATGGTGTTGAAGAGAGCTTGTTGAAATCGTTAAACGCCAAGAGCAAGACAAGGGTTGCATCATACTCCCCATTTTCCACATGGTGGATCCCAGGGATGTACGACATCAGACGGGATCTTATCAGAAGGCGTTTAGACAGCATGTGAAGAACTTCGATGGGAAGACCATACAGAGCTGGAAAGATGCTTTGAGTAAGGTTGGAGCTTTGAAAGGATGGCATGTCCGAAGCAACAGTGAGTACGTATTTTCCTAGCCTCTTGCTACGTGCGTTAAAGTTTGTTTGATAACTTGGCCTTGGAATTACTTATTTGTTACTTGTCCCGCAGTGTTGTTAATATCATCGTACTCTATGTTTACATAGGCAGGGAGCCATAGCTGTTATTGTCTCCGGTGTTGTATGGTCACATCTAAGTCAGAGCACTTATGTAGTAGAGACTGATAAGTTGGTGGGAATTGATCATCACGTAGAAGCAATAACAGAAAGAATGAGTTTGGACTCTGGAGGTGTGACAATTATTGGCATTCATGGTATTGGTGGTGTTGGCAAGACTACTGTGGAAACCATTGTCTATAACAAAATGTGAGCTCTCTTCGACCGTTTTAGCTTTGTCGAAAACATGCGAGAAACATTGCAACAGAAGGATGGTGTTATCAGTTTGCAGAACAGTCTAATATCCAACATTATGAGAACAAACTCTATTGGATCTATTGCGAATGTTAGTGAAGGAGTCAGAACTATAAGAGATAGAATTTCAAGATTCAAAGTTCTTATTATTCTGGATGACGTGGATGAGAAGTTTAAATTTGATGAAATCTTAGGAAACCATGAGAATTTTGCTCAGGGGAGTAGATTTATCATTACCTCTAGAAATATAAGAGTCTTGAGTTCTTTGACCAAAGAATGCAACTTGTATGAAGTTCAAGAAATGAGTCGTCGTAACTCATTTCAGCTCTTCTGCAAGCATGCATTCAAAAATGACTTCCCTCCTGCCGGTTATGAGACTTTGTCAGAAGATATTGTATCCACTACAGGAGGAAGCCGTTGACTCTTAAGGTTGTCGGATCACTTTTATTTAAAGAAAGGTTGAAGATAAGCTATGACACGTTAAGATATGAGGCAAAACAGATATTCTTGGACATTGCATGTTTCTTCATTGGAATGGACAAGGAGATTCCTTCTTACATGTGGAGTGATTGCAACTTTCATCCGATAAGTAACATCAATATTCTTATCCAGAGGTCGATGATTAAACTTGGGGATGACAATCAATTCCAGATGCACGGTCAATTTAGAGATATGGGTAGAGAAATTGTTCGTCAAGAAAACATAGAGCAACCATGGAAGAGGAGTAGAATATGGTCGAGTAAAGAAGTTGTGGACCTATTGTCTAACAGCAAGGTACTTACCTCATCTTTACTTGTATCTCTCCTAATTATGCTGTTACTATGTGTTGACATTAAACCTCTGCAGCAACTTCAGCAAGTTGTTTGTCTTTCATGGTCTTTCCTGCTGTTCTAGCAATTAGTACCTTGAATTGTGCACTTCATTTTATAGGGAACAAACCAAGTCAAGGCCATACGGTTAAACTCATCATCCATTGTTATAGAAGAGCTTGAAAACAAATGTTTTGTGAATTTGTCAGAGTTGAGATACTTTGAAGCTGAATTCACAAAACTTATTGGAGACTTCAGAAATCTTCTGCCGAATCTTAGATGGCTTCAATTGCACCACCATCAAAATGCTGGTCATCACCTAACTAACTTTCATATGAAGAATTTGGTAGTTCTGGTTCTCCAGTCAAGCAAAGTAACAAATGACTGGGGAGGCTGGAGTCATATCAAGGTTTGTCGATCACTCACAAGTTATAATTTTGGAAAACCAAAGCAATTAGCCCTATTTGTCTATCACCTATCAGTACCTTTTTAGTTTCTTGATTAATACTTCCTTGACACAAGATTTTCATTTCCCTCTAACCTTTTAGAACTTACGGGGTTGGAGGAATTAATAGTGGAATACTGTGGCTATGGGCTTTAGATCCCTTCAGCTGACCACATGTGGTGGAAGTTATCCAAGTTGAAATCTCTGTCACTTTATAAAACAAAGTTCATCGACACAAATCCTACTGGCCTTCCTAGTTCCCAGCTGCTGGTGCCTCTGCTGCCCTCATGTCTAACCAGCCTTCACATTTCAGATTGTCTACAATTAGAGTGGCTGCCATGTCGAGAGAATCTGGAGAATTTAATTGAATTATCCATCCTTCACTGTCCAATGCTTCGAGAAATCCAAGGCATTAGAGGGCTGAAATCTTTGGAAACTGTCGAGATAGTTGATGGGACAAATCTGGGTAATCTTGATGGACTCGACAGACTCCACTCCTTGTCAAACTTGAGTTTTTCAGTTTGTGATGCATTGGAAAGACTACCTAGTCTAGCGTCCTTGAGCAAGTTAATCGAGTTCCACAGCTTTCGCTGCCCTCTTCTCACAGAAATCGAAGGCCTTGGAGGGCTGAAATCATTGCAAGTGTTTGAGGTGGATGGTGCTGAGAGTTTAACTCGTGTCCATGGCCTTGGAAATCTCCTATGTTTCAGAAAGTTGCAAACTTTAAGGATATGGAATTGCCCTCGTCTCACAGCACTAACATCCCATGGATGGCAGCCTGACAGCCAAATAGTACTCGAATCCTTGAGAAAGCTGTCCATCCGTGCAAGTGCATCCCTACTGCAGAGTATCTTCAACCAGATGCTTCATCTGACAAAGTTTCCGAGGCTTATGGTATTGGAACTTGGGGAGATGGGGGGCAAAAATGCAGAGGAGTTATTGCTGGAGGGGCTCGAAGCTCTGGAAGATCTAGTTACACTGATGTTGCTTGGCTTGGCCTCAATCAGAGACTACCTTCTCTGTCAAAGCTAGTAAAGTTGAAGTACTTAATTGTGACTGATGCTCCAAAGTTATGTGTGATTGAGAGCCTTGCTGATTTGCAATCTTTGGAACACGCAACGATCATTGGATGCACATCTTTGGAAAAATTGCCTGCTTGTCTTTCTGGGTTGGAGCAATTGCGAAGTATTGAGATCCAAGGATGCACGAAATTGACTGATCTCTTGGCTCTAAGCAACCTACGGTCTAATGTTAGCGTTTGGCAACCAAATTCTGATACAGATTTGTATGACTCAGACTTGAGTTCAGATTCGTGAAAGAGTAGTATGTGATTCAGTCTTTGCTCTCTCCAAACATTATAGGGGAGCTGATATAATACACTTTTTGATGACCGTTAAATCTCGGATCTTGGAGGTAATTACACACCACTATTTGTTACGCTGCACCTTATTGTTTGTGTTTGGTATTAAGACTGAGATATTTGAGGCAAGTAGATTGTTAATAGACATGTTAACCTTCAAGGCTTTCTTCTTTCCTCAGCAGACCCACATTATTGAGGCATACTTTGTGCCACATGTCCCTTTGCAGAACTAAAAATGACTTACGCAGTCTGAATACCAGAGTGAGGTACACCTAAGATTCTTGTTAGCAAATTAAGGACTATGATTTCTTGTTGGTATATTGTCAACAACTAGAACTCCCAGAACATGAGGTGAAGAAATGGGATGTGATATTCTGCAAGGCTTGAGTTGAGGGTTTTAGATGGTAATTCCATCAGTAATATGACAGCTTTGTTATATTGGCTTAGTTGTTTGTTTATGGTATAGATGTCCCATTTTAGTAAATGGTGGAAATTCAATTGGGCAGACTTTTTCTTTTGTAGGTGACAACCGGTCCCAAGCTTTAAACTTTAGTTGAGCTAGATGCTTGCAGTCTACTTATTATAATTAGGCGAGGCACTCCCTTTTGGTTTTGAAGGAAGCTATCTGTGTTATTTTTCGGGGGAAATGTGGAATATATAAGCAAGAGTTGATTAGAAGTGGAAGGAGAGTGTGGTGTTGCTGTAGCCTGCAACTCTCATCCTTGTCTCTCTACTCTAGTAACTCGACTTACATTTGAAGAAGTTAGGTGATAGACTGGTTTTTTAGTACAAATTGAAGAAGCTTGGGGCTGTTTTTTAATATTTAAAGTTTGGTGATAGACTACCATTTAGTACGCTCTTCGTCAGTTTGACCAGCTTTTCCCTTATGACGAAAGGAGCTGTAAGTCCTCTCTCTGTCTCACTCTCTCAGGGCTGTAATTTTCCTCAGCTGGGATTCGGCTGCTGCTGCTGCTTCTGCAGATTATCAATCCTTCTATGCTCTACGGTGTGTTATATTGGATTTGTGCTTGAGCTATTCCAATTATATTTCGTTCCAGCCCTCGTTCTTTCCAAGTGTTGGACTTTAGCACTCATATTGAAACTCATGTCACTGATATCGAGGCTAAATTGGTACTGGCAATACTTGGCTTGCCCTTTGCATGTTTCAGACATAATGGAAGTTAGAAATATATACTAGGCAGATTCTTGCTCAGTCTCCTGCTTCTGGTGTTGTGCTTGTATGTTCCGAACAGAATGCAAGTGCTCACAGTTCCTATCCTTAACATTCAATTGTTGTCCCCTGTTACCATTCTACTGGTTTTTTAAGTGGAAATGTATGTTCTAGGAGCAATCTTGCTTTGTCCTACATGTATTGTCCGTCCTGTTGTATTATTTTAAAGCTTTCTTGGTTTTCCATGATATGACATTGCCTTTCTGGCTTAATTGGAAAATTCATCTAGCTTTCAAGTAATTTCTGGTCTCTCCAACCCTTCAAAACATATGTGCTTGCTTGAAACAATTGACAGAGTTGGAATCGATCAGACTTAAATGGCTCAGTTTGGCTTTTGAAACATGCAAGTTCATTACAAGTGTAGGTGAAAATTCAGATGGACCGAGGAATTGTATTTTCAGTTCTGTGTAAGATATCTGAGTGACGCTCGCAAACTGCCCGTGATTATGATATCCAGCAGCCGTCACGTCACTATTACAGAATGCGTCTGTTTTCTGTCTAAAATTTATCTGCAGCAATCTACCACTTCAACTAATGCTCCAATTGGAGTTTCGGAATCAGAGAGAATCTTCAAGTATTGCGTTGCAGAATGAAGGAAGTCCATGGAAAAGACTTAATATAATAGCCTATTAGTAGAATGTCCATAGCAAAGACCAAAGAGTGATGCGCTTTTCTGGTGAGTGAGTCGAGTCGACCTATTTGCTCAGTTACCTTTTACTTTCCTATTGTTCCCGTATGGAAGAATGCATAAGGTTGTTTGTAACAGTGTCCATTAAACCGTATCGTACCGGCGGTTCAACTACGAAATATCAGTATCGGAGGCTAAACCGATATGCGGTATTTGTCGGTATAACGGTTGAACTACGGTTAAACCACGATTTTACCCTAAAATACCTTACCGCTGACTATCCCGGTACGGTCTCCGCAACGGTTTCATGGACCATGGTTTGTAATCTGTTTGGCCTGAGATTGCCCCAAACTCAAAACTTGGTAATTTTGGTTCGCGCGTAAGAGAGCAGATGAGTAAAAAACAACTCATATGGTGAACTGTCTATCTATCTGCAAGTCCAAAAGAAGTAAACAGACGAACAAAGCCCAGGTATTAGCTAAGATGTCAGGCCCAAAATAAAAAGGAAAGAGATGACAGAGGGCAACGCAGGCCCATTCCGAAGAGGGGTGGAAGTGGAATACTGGAATCTATAGCCGGCGGTCGATCGTCGTCTTCTCTCCCTTCCGATCCCTTCTTCCTCTCTTCAGTCTTCTCCATTTCGGCATATTTGGATCGCATCTTCCCTCACGTCTCTGCAAAATCTCTGCTACTGGTGCGTAATGTTACTGTAAGCTAAATCCGTTCAAATTAGTCAACGTTTGCTTATGGTTTCGTTATCGTAGCTGTGCTGTGCAGTTATAGTCTATTGGTGCTAGAGATAACTAACCACCTAATCTGTTTTTGCAGTATAATAATGGGAAGCCGAACTCCTTCTGTTCCCCCAAAGTCTTCGCGCCTCCCTCACCAACCACAGCTCCTCGTCGTCGAGTTCTACCTCCTCCCCTTCTGTTTCACATTTCCCCTCCATTTCCAAAATTCGCAGAAGCAGCCGATAACCGGAAACGTCGTTTTCTCTACTCTGAATTCTCGCCTTGCGCTGCAGCGGTCGCCTTCAGCGAAAACGCCTGTAAGACTCTCTCTCTATCTCTTTACCTCTCTCCGCTCTATGGCGTGTTTGGTATATTGATTGTATCATGGCTGCCAGATCGGTTTTTTTTTTTGGACTAATCGAAAACCACAAGTTTTAGCTACCCTTATTGGTTCGGATTCGGTTTGCACTTATCGGTTTCGGATTAGAACGGAACACCTGCAAGACGCACGTTAATACCTGCTCTGTTTTCGATTCTTTCAGCCGAAACCGTGTAGCCTCTTTAATGGCTTTGGTATTGGTTTTAAGGGCGGATGTCTGTTTGGAGTTTTCATAGCGATTCGGTTAAACCCTAATGATGTGTTTGAAGTTTGCACAGTTTTGACTTTTAAGCTTGAGTCGTCACCAACATTGTTCTTTCTTCGGTTACAGGTTCTCCTGGACAAAGATGTGGTCGGCTGGGAGAAATCCTGGCTCCTCAACTAGTATTGACAATGGTTTGTTTGAAAAAAACAAGAGACAAAAAACAAACAGTAGTGCTGCTTCTGCTTCTGCTTCCGCCTCTGCAAATTCTAGTTCCCAGTCCCTGCCAATCGGAGACTACGAGGTGTTTTTGAATTTCAGAGGACCTGACACTCGTGATGAGATCACTGGTATCCTTCATCATTTTCTGGTAAAATTACAGATCCGTACATTTAAGGATGATGATGACCTCCGGAAAGGGGAATCAATATGGCCCAACCTCGTTAAGGCTATCCAGGAATCCAAGATATATGTTCCCGTTTTTTCAGAAACTTATGCTTATAGCAAATGGTGTCTCAAAGAGCTTGCCAAGATTGTTGAACACCAAGAGAAAAATGGTGAATGCATCATACTCCCCATCTTTTATATGGTGGATCCCAGTGATGTCCGTCATCAGAGTGGACCTTACCAAATGGCATTTCAACAACACGAGCAGAAGAATGTTGACAAAGAGACCATAGGAACCTGGAAAGAGGCTCTAAGCAAGGTTGGAGCTCTAGATGGATGGCATGTCAAAAGCAAAAACGAGTACGTTAACTCATCCTTGCATTTTGTAGTATTCTTCACACGCTAATTTGTTTGATCCCATTTTGTTCGTTGTTAATTCCTTTGATCTTCTTCAACCCTTTTCTTACTGACTTGTTGAGAACCATGAGGTGAATTTACTGGACCACCACCAGTTAGTTTTGGATAACACATTTCATCCATTTATCTGAACTTCACGTGGCTTTTGTCCATGGTATTAGTATTACTATTTGTTGTTATCACACAGTGTGATGTTTATCATTGGCAACATTATTCTTGCAGGAAGATAGCTACAGCAGATCTTGTTTGTTCCTCTGTATGGTCACATTTAATGAAGAGTCACCTTGTAATAGAGACTGGTAAGTTGTTCGGAATTGACGATCACATAAAATTGGTAATGGACAAAATGAGCCTCGATTCCGGTGGTGCCACTGTTTTAGGGATTCATGGAACTGGTGGCATAGGCAAGACCACTGTTGCAACGGCTGTCTACAACAAGTTATGTACTCAATTTGGAAGGTGCAGCTTCTTGGATGATGTACGCGAAAAAATGAAAGAAAATGATGGTATTATTAGTTTGCAGAAGAAACTCATTTCTGACATTTCGAGAGTGGACATTTTCGAACGCTTTTCTAACGTTAGTCAAGGAGTCAGATTTATAAAAGATAGAATTTCTCAGGTCAAAGCTCTTATAGTTCTTGATGATGTGGATGAGGGGTTTAAGTTCGAAAACATATTGGGGAAGATTGAGGACTTCATTTCCGGAACTAGATTCATCATTACTTCTAGAGACAAATATGTATTGCTTAAAGTGACTGAAGAATCCAGGTTATATGAAGTTCAAGAAATGAGTCATCCTCTTGCACTACAACTCTTCTGCTACCATGCCTTCAGAAATGATTCTCCTTCATCAGGTTATGAAAAATTGTCAGAAGATGTTGTATCAACTACTGGGAGACTTCCGTTGGCACTTGAAGTTACTGGTTCATCTCTATTTGGAAGAGAGAAAGCATTTTGGGTTGACAAATTAGCACGGTTGAGAGAAATACCCGAGAAAGATGTTGTAAACAGGTTAAAGATCAGCTTTGATACATTAGACGAAGAGGCAAAGGATATTTTCTTGGATATCGCTTGCTTCTTTATTGGAGAGGACAAAGAGATAGCTTCTTACATGTGGCGGGATTGTAAGTTATATCCTGGTACTTATATTTCAAATTCTTGTTGAGAGGTCCATGATTAAGATTGGGGATAAGAATCAACTCCATATGCACGATCAACTCAAATATATGGGCAGAGAAATTGTCCGCCAGGAAAACATAAGACTCCCATGGGACATAAGCAGGATATGGTCCAGGGAGATAGCTTTGGGCTTGCTACGTAATAAGAAGGTATGTTTTTACCCACATCTTTCTCGTAGGAGAGGCTGTCTTCTTGATTATCACCATATAATATCATATCTAAATATCTTTATGAGTTTCCTGATATTGAGTTGTTTGGTTATAACTTATAAGATAGAAATGATATATAGAAAAGCCACTCACCTCCATGGACATACGATGGGTTTATCAGTACAATGAACTTTTTTGTGGCAAAATAACTACACAAGCGTACTGGATTTTTTTGTGGCAGGATTTCTGTTTTTTTTCCTTGCTTCTGTTCATCCTGTTCGAATGGGAAATAAAAGAAAGTATCTGACCTGTAGGGCTGGCGAAAAGCAATACACGCGTGTATGAACATTTGTGGTTTGGATTTCCCCCCCTCTTTTTGGTCATTCAATATCCTGTTTTTCTCTTTTCTTTTCAGGGAACAGACCGAGTTGAGGGCATTAGAATACACCAAGATTCTTACATGGAGGAGCTTGGAGTTTCAAAAGAATGTTTCATGAAGTTATCACAGTTGAGATACCTGGACATAAATGCAAGGATGCTCATTGACGACTTCAATAATTACGTTCCAAATTTAAGATGGCTTCGGCTGAAGATGATAGATGGTGGGTGGATGCCTAAGTTTAGTGTGGAACACTTGGTGATTCTTGAAGTCTCAAGCTTCATGAGCTGTGTGAGATATAAGTCGGGAACTTTGAGGCATATCAAGGTATGGGTTAAATAACTTAACTGGGGGATCCAGGTTCAAATTACTTAAATAGTACCTAAATCATAAAAAGTAAACCCATATAATTCTAATCAGAAAAAAAAAAAAAAAACTTAACATAACGGAAAGTGCGCTTGTTGAGTTTCTATTCAACACCTTACCAATGACCGCTGCACTTTGATGTGTTTATACAGATGGCGAGCAATCTCAAAGTACTCAAACTTTCAGGCCACTGGCTGCACGAATTTCCCGAGTTTCCACGTTCCGGAAGTCTCGAGATACTAGAACTGGAGAATCGGTACCACAGTCCGTCGGAAAAGGACCGGGATATTGATTGGTCTGATAAAGGAGAAAAGGAACTGGATATTGGGAATTTGGGGAACCTAAAAGTGCTGCGTCTGCGAGATGGTGGGGTTAGGGAAATAACGTGTGAAACCATTAGGATGATGCCATTGGAGAAGCGGAAAGTGTTGCATCTGCTTCCATCATCCCTAACCACCCTCCATATTATAGGGTGTCCACAACTAGAGTGGCTCCCCAATTTGGAAAATCTGGAGAACTTGACCGACTTCTCCATCGAAGATTGCCCCTTAGTAAAGGAGATCCTTGGTCTTGGAGGGCTGAAATCCTTGGAAACTCTGAGTATAAGTGGTCTGAAAGATCTGTGCAATCTGGACGGTCTTGACAGTCTCTGCTCTTTGAAATCCTTGTCACTCAATTGTTGTTTTGCATTGGAAAGACTTCCCAGCATGGCTTCTTTGAGCAAGTTACTTGATTTAAGTATCTCTTCTTGCTCTCATCTCACAGAAATCCAAGGCCTTGGAGGGCTGGGATCATTGCAAATGCTTTTCATTCAGGGTGCAAATAGTTTAAGCCGTCTCTTTGGCTTTGAAACTCTCCTGTCTCTGAACAAGTTAGGAAGTTTAGAGATACGTTACTGCCCTCTTCTCACGTTACTACCATTCCATGGCCTTGACAGTGAATGCCCATCAGAAGCTCTGGTACTCAACTCTTTACGGAGGCTATTCGTAAGTGAAACAACAGGTCCAGTGCTGCAGATCTTCTGTCGGATGATTCAGCTGTTAATGTTCCCGAATCTCACTGTGTTGGTACTTATTGGGGACGAGATTGGTATTACTGACACGGAATTGCAGCTGGATGGGCTCGAGTCTATGGAAGAGTTGGTTAAACTGCACTTGTACAACTTGCGCTCAATAAGGAGACTGCCTTCCTTGTCAATGTTGGTGAATTTGGAAAGTTTAGTTGTCATAAATCTTCCAAATCTGCAAGAGATTGATGGCCTTGCTGGTTTGAAATCCTTGGAAGAGCTATGTCTCATCAAATGCACATCCTTGGAAAGATTGCCTGTGGATCAGTTCTATGGTTTGGAGCAATTGAAAAAATTGAAAGTGAAAAATGTTCCAAGGTTGCGACTGATGGAAGGCCTAGCTGGTTTGAAATCCTTGAAAGAGCTAAGCCTCATCAAATGCACATCCTTAGAAAGACTGCCAGCGGATCAGCTATATGGTTTGGAGCAATTGAAAATGGTGGACATCTATGGTTGCACAAACTTGACCTTGACTGATCTATCTGCTCTAAGAGAACTAGAGCCGAGAGTGATGATAGAGTGGCCAAATTCAATCTCCATACATAACGATCCTTTCGAGGACAGCAACGATACTTGGTTTGTCAAAAGCGGCTACTTCGTTTGAGTGATTGTGATTATTAAATCAAAATATATAAACAGACAGTTTTCTGGCTACTTATTCAGTATTTGTCTTCCCTCATATAACTTCTCTCTCATCTGTGCACAATGTGGACATTCTGTGATAGTCTACTCCATGCAATCATTGACAGTTGAACTAATAGTGATGCAGTGGAAAGACTGCACAGCAAGTGTGTTGATACTCTCTACTCTGTGAAATCATTGACCGTTGAAGATTGTGATGCTTTGGGAAGACTGCCCGACATGGCGTCTTTGAGCAAGTTGCTTGACTTAAGTGTCTCTTCCTGGCTTTGTCTCACAGGAATCCAAGCTCTTTAAAGAGCTGAAATCGTTGCAAATGCTTCACATTCTTGGTGCAAAGAGTTTAAGTCGTATCTTCAGTTTTGAAACTCTATCGTCTCTTAACAAGTTAGATATCTAAAAGTCCAATGGACAAAGTAAACAGACAAACAAAGCCAGCTAGTAGCTAAACCGTCAGGCCCAAAAGAAAAAAGTAAAGAGATGACAAAGAGCAACACAGGCCCATTCCGAAGGTCAAGAAGAGGGGTGGAATACTGGAATCTATTGCCGGCGGTCGTCGCCTGTTCCTGGACTTGATCGCATCTTGATCTTCCCTCAAGTCTCTGCAAAATCTCTGCAACTGGTACGTAATGTTACTGTAATTTTAAACCACTACGGTTAACCTAAGCTCAATTCTTTCAAATTAGTCATCCTTTGCTTATGGTTTCGCAGCTGTGCAGTTATAGTCTATTGGTGCTAGAGATAACTAACCACCGAATCTGTTTTTGCAGTATAATAATGGGAAACCATACTCCTCCTGTTCCCCCAAGTCTTCGCGTCACCAACCCCAACTCCTCCTCGTCGGTTTCTACCTCCTCCCCTCCATTTCCAAAATTCGCAGAATCAGCCGGTATACGAAAACGTCTCTTTCTCTCCTCTGAATTCTCGTCTTGCGCTGTAGCTGTCGCCTTCTGCGAAAACGCCTGTACGACTCTCTCTCGCTATCTCCTTACCTCTCTCTGCTCTATGGTGTGTTTGTTATACTGTATTCAATCCTTGTTTTTGCCCTCCGATCCTTGAACTTAATCGCTTTTGTGCTTTAACCATTTCAAATTCATAATTTCAGTTATCGTTCTTCTTATTCTAGTTGCGACTTGGGAGTCCTTGATTGTATCATGGCTGCTAGTTCGGGTTCGGTTTTTTTTTGGTTGTATTAATCGAAAACCATGGCTCCTCAACTACAGGTTCTCCTATACAAAGATGCGGTCGGCTGATAGGAACCATGGCTCCTCAACTAGTATTGATGATGATTGGTTTGAAAAAAACAAGAGACAAAAATCAAATAGTGTTGATTATGCCTCTTCACCACACTGGGATGTTGCTGCTTCTGCTCCCCCCTCTGCAAATTCTAGTCTCCAGTCCCCGCCATGGGGAGAGTACGAGGTGTTTTTGAATTACAGAGGTCAAGACACTCGTTATCAGATCACTGATATCCTGTATCGGTTTCTCGTAAACTTGAAAATTCGCACGTTCAAGGATGACGATGAGCTCCGTAACGGGGAAGGGATATGGCCCAGTCTTGCAAAGGCTATCGAGCAATCCAAGATATATGTTACCATCTTCTCTGAAAATTATGCTTATAGCAAATGGTGCCTCAGAGAGCTTGCTGCCATTGTCAAACGTCTAGAGCATGACAAGTGTTGCATCATTCTTCCCATTTTTTACATGGTGGATCCGAAAGACGTCAGGAATCAAAGTGGTCCATATCAGAATGCATTTGATAAACACGGGATGAATTTTGACCAAGAGACAATAGAGGTTTGGAAAGATGCTCTGAATAGGGTTGGATCTCTGAAGGGATGGCATGCCGAAAGCAGTAACGAGTAAGTTACCTCACTCTCACCGCCGCTGTTGCCTTTTATTTTATAGCTTACCAAATTCCTTATTATCAAATTGTGAATCACTTTAACGACTTGTCCCCTGTTTGATATAATTGGAAATGATATTTTTTCCAGGCAGGGGGCTATAGCAGATCTTGTTACTGGCATTGTGTTGTCACATCTAAGTAAGAAAAATAATGTGTTAGAGATTGATAAGTTGATTGGAATTGATGCCGACATAAAAGCAGTAAAAGAAATAATGACGCTAGGCTCCGGAGGTGTGTCAATTGTTGGAATTCATGGTATTGGTGGTATTGGTAAGACCACTATTGCCAAGGCGGTCTTTAACAAAGTATCTGCTCAATTTGATCGTTGTAGCTTTGTGGAAAACGTACGAGAAATGCTACATAGTAAAGATGGTGTTATCACTTTGCAAAAGCATTTAGTCTCAGACATCTTGAGGAGGAATTTTGTTGAGTCCATTGCCAATATTAGTGAAGGTATCAGAATAATACGAGATAGGATTTCTTGTTTCAAATGTCTTATTGTTCTTGATGATGTGGACGAGAACTTTGAATTTGAAGAGGTGTTAGGAAAAATTGAGAATTTTGTTTCGGGGAATAGATTTATCATGACTTCGAGAAACGTAAAAGTATTAAGAATATGGACCGAAGATTGCAAGTTGTATAGAGTAGTAGAAATGAGTCCTCAACACTCACTCCAACTTTTCTGCAAACATGCTTTCAAAATGGATTGTCCTCCATCAAGTTATGAGATTTTGTCAAAGGATATTGTCTCTGTTGCAGCAGGACTTCCATTGACTCTTAAAGTTGTAGGGTCACTTTTATTTAAAGAGGAGGAAGTGATTTGGAAAGACAAATTGAGAAGGCTAAAAGAAATTCCAGAGGAGAAGGTTGTAGCAAGATTAAAGATAAGCTATGATGCATTAAGTGAAGATGCGAAGCGAATCTTTTTAGATATTGCTTGCTTCTTCATTGGAGAGGACAAAGAGATGGCTTCTTATATGTGGAGTGATTGTGGCTTGTTTCCAACGACTAATATCAATATTCTTATTCAAAGGTCTATGATTGACATTGTGTTCAATGATTATCACAATACACATTTGTTCCGAATGCATGATCAGCTCAGAGATATGGGTAGGGAAATCGTATGCCGAGAAAACATAACGCGTCCATGGAAGAGAAGTAGGATATGGTCAAGGGAGAACGCTTTGGAGATGTTACGTAACGGAAAGGTAATTCCCCAACATTTCACTTGAATTTCTCTTATTTTTTATTTGTGTATCTGATACCCACAAGTATATCCAAAGTGCACTGGACATACATCCAAATGATCTATAGATATAATCCTAATTCTGGATCCTCAACTTTGATATTTCAAAAGAGCCTGCTTTTCAATTTATCAAATTATCATTAACCCTAAAATATTCGTGCATATTCTCAATTGTAGATATCAGGTAGGTGTTTTTTTTAATTGGTTTAGGTAGATTGCTACTAGTATACCCCATTTAGCATATTAGTGGACTTTTTCTGTATCTTGTTATTGTCTTCATTGCCTCTTGCCGTATTTTCTTAGCAATCTGGATGGGGAACACAAAATAGAGGAAGTGCCAATTCACACGAGAAATAGAAAGAAAGAATCCAACCTGTACGTGTGGTGGACTTAGCTAATAGTACTATTATTATTAAATTTGGGGAGGTGAAAACTACATGATGAACTTCTGTGGGATGGATCGTTTGTTTTCATCCCTTTGGTCATTGGATTTTTTATTTATTACCTTTTTGTAGGGAACAAAGCAGGTCGAGGGCATTAGGCTACACTATGGTTATGACTTTGAGGGGAAGCTCGGGAGGAAAGAATGTTTCATGAAGTTGTCAGAGTTGAGATACTTGGACATGCAAGGTGTTAAAATGCCCATAGATGACTTCAGTAATTACGTTCCAAATTTAAGATGGCTTCGGCTGTCGATTGGAGTTTTGTCTATACCTAAGTTTAGTATGGAAAATTTGGTGATTCTTGAACTCTTCACCTGGCTGGGAGATGAGTCTGGAGCTTTGAAGCAAATCAAGGTATGGACTATCGCTTAAATAACTCAACATGAAGTGTTTGTTGAGTTTCTTGATTGGTACTTACGGACTGGCTGTTGCACATGTTTTTCTTACAACTTTAACTTAATGTGTGCATATAGATGGCGAGCAAGCTCAAAGTTCTTAAACTTTCGTGTGGTTCCTTGGACGAATTTCCGGAGTTTTCTCGTTCCGGGAGTCTAGAGATTTTAGATGTGGAGACTAGCTTCTTCCGTCCACCATGGTGGGTCCGTACGGACCTGGATATTGGGAATCTGAGGAACCTAAAAGTCCTTCGTCTGAAGAATTGTTGGGTAATGAGAAACATTAGAGCTGGAGCCATTGGGATGATGCCATTTGAGAACCTAAAAGTGTTGCATCTGGAGGGTTGTTGGGTAACAGAGATAACAGGTGGAACTGTTGGAATGATGCCATTTGAGAACATAAAAGTGCAGCATCTGCTTCCATCATCTCTAACCACCCTCCTCATTATAGATTGTCCAAAACTGGAGTGGCTCCCCAATCTAGAGAATCTGGAGAACTTGTCTTCCTTATCCATCGTTGGCTGTCCCTTGCTCAGAGAGATCCTAGGGCTTGGAGGGTTGAAATCCTTGGAAGCTTTTAGTATAAGTGATCTGAAAGCTCTGTGCGATATGGAAGGTCTTGGCAGTCTCTATTCTTTGAAATCCTTGTCACTTAAAGGTTGTGATGCGTTGACAAGACTGCCCAGCATGGCGTCTATGAGCAAGTTACTCCATTTATACGTCTCTTCCTGCCCTTGTCTCACAAACATCCAAGGCCTTGGAGGGCTGGAATTACTGCAAATGCTTCACATTCATCAGGCAATGAGTTTAAGCTGTCTCATCGGATTTGAAACTCTTCTGTCTCTGAACAAGTTAAAAGTTTTGAAGATAAGTGACTGCCCTCTTCTCACATTACTAACATTCTATGGCATTGATGATGGATGCCGATCACAAGCAGCGGTACTCGACACTTTACAGGAGCTAGACATCCATGGAACAGCGCTGGTGCTGCAGATATTCTGCCGGATGATTCAGATGTTAATGTTCCCGAGTCTCACCGTGTTGAAACTAAGTGGTGTGAGAATTTGTAGTGCTGACACGGGAGTAGAGCTGGATGGGGTGGAGTCTATGGAAGAGTTGGTTGACTTGCAATTGTATGACTTGGCCTCAATAAGAAGATTACCTTCCCTGTCAAAGCTGAGAAACTTGAAAAATTTAAAGGTTGCCAATGCTCCAAATCTGCAAGAGATTGCGGGTCTTGCTGGTTTGAAATCCTTGGAAAGGCTAGATCTCACCGGATGCACATCTTTGGAAAAATTTCCGGCTGATGAGCTATCCGATTTGCAGCAATTGAAGACTGTGATTGTCAGTGGTTGCACGAACTTAATTGACCGATCTGCTCTAAGAGAACTTGAGCCGAGTGTGAAGATATGGTGGTAACTGCGCCTCTGCTACTGAGGTAGTGTGATAACATCGAGTCTTCATCCTATTCCACGTTCTTAGATACTGACTTTCCTCATTCCAGGACTCTGGAGAACTTGAGTTTTCCATGAAGTGATGCCCCTTCCTGACAGTCTGGCTTCTTTGAGCAAGTTACTTGGTTTATATATCTCTCTGCTATAGGCTTACAGAAATCCAATGTTTTTGAGGGATGAAATAGTTGCAAAAACTCAAATGTTTTATGCAGAGTTTAACTTGTCTGCTCAGTTTTGAAATTCTCTGTCTTTTAACAAGTTAGAAATCTTATGAACAATAAACTGCCCGCTTCTCACATCATTACCATTCCATGACCTTGACGATGAATGTCGATGAGATGCTGCGGTACTCTACTCTCTACGATATGATCTTTGTATCAAGAAGCGGCGCCTTCTGCAGATTTACTGTGGTATGATTTAGCTGTTAATGTTCTCCCGTCTCAGTGTATTTCATCTTAGTGATTCGGGGATTGCTGAGGCCCACATGACATGGAACCAAGGCTGGATTGGCTCGAGTCTATGGAGGAGTTGGTTCGACTGGCTATGGATTGCCTGTGCTCGATAAAGGAGTCTACCCTCCCTGTCAAAGCTGCAAAACTTGAAAGAGTTAACTGCCACTGGTGCTCCAAATCTGTGGGAAGATTGAGGGCCTCCTGGTCTGAAATCCAAGGAAGAGTACTGCACATCTTCAGAAAGATTCATGGCGCAGATGAGCCATCTGGCTTGAACCAATTGAGAAGCATAACCATCTGTGGTTGCACAAGGTTCAATATGTAGAGATGATCTGTTGGCTGTGATGACGGTGTTAGTAGTGTAGGAGTGCAATTTTTCAATCTGTAGGTACTGATTGCATAGGTTACATTTCTGTAGGTACTGATTGCATAGGTTTTATCTACGTATGATCACTCACCCTCTTAGGCGGGACGTCGTATCTTCCAACCAGCTGAAGACATTCGGCCTGATCCTTACACTAGTCTCAACTATCAGGGCTACCCGAGATCGGTGATAAGCTAGTTTCCTTCCTTAGCTGTGCATTTTAATGTTGAACTCTTGTGTCGATAGCAGAATTCTATCCCTCTACTCGCTGCCTGTGCCCCTAATTTCTCAGCATGAGAGTGCCACTGTGAGGAAGTATATGAGAAGATGACGGGGGAAAACAGATGCAATGACCAACTGTCTAGCTACGTGGGCTAAGCCCAAAAGAAAACAGACAAACAATGGAAACTACACCGTCAAGCCCAAAAGAAGTGAGAAAACAGATGCAAAGGAAAGGAATGCCTCAACCCAATTCCAAAAGCGAGAGAGGGGAATCTAGTAGTTTCCGGTGGTCGTCGCTCCTGAATGTGGTCGGTTGCCGTCTAGGGATCCTCCTTCTCCATTTCCGGATATTTGGTGCGTATCTTCCCTCAAGTCTGCAAAACCTCTGCAACTGGTACGTAAAGTTCCTATAATTTCTATCTATCACAGTTGACCTGAGTTCAATTCTTTCAAATTAGTCCTTCTTTACTTAACAATTTCGCGGATGCATGGTGGGATGGAAGCAGCGCTTTGATACTCTATTGGTGCTTAAGAGATAACTAACCACCTACTCTGTTTTTTACAGTATAATAATAATATGATGGGAAGGCGAAACTCCGACTGTTTCCTCGATGCCGCAGAAGTCTACGCGCCTTCTCCACCAACCCCAACTCTGCTTCGTCGGTTTCTATATCCATACCCTTCTATTTCGCTTCTCCTCTCCAGTTCCAGAATTTGCAGAGCCAGGCAATAACCGAAAACACCTCTCTCTTTGCTCGTAAGTCCTCTCTGCTCTGCTGTTTTCTTTTCCTCTCCTGCCAATACCAAAAGATAAGGGAAGGGTTTTATGATTAGCGAGATTAGTTTACAGTCTTTTAGTATGTATTACTTAATCGAGGCTTAATCAGATTGGACTGACATAATTTGTGCTTGTATCATATGTTGTTATGAAGAAATGGATTACATGGACGGAAGAAGTTCCCACGGATCAAACGTTACTGTTGATAATGCCTCTAGAGAATCGGACACTGTTGCTTCTGCTTCTGAACCTGCAGATTCACATTCGCTGCCCCTACCATTTGGAGAGTACGAGGTGTTCCTGAATTTCAGAGGTCCAGACACCCGTTATCGGATCACCGATATTCTTTATCGTTTTCTTGTTAACTTGAAGATCCGCACTTTCAAGGATTATGATGAGCTCCGGAAAGGGGAAGGGATGTGGCCCAATCTCGTCGAGGCTATCGAGCAAGCCAAGATTTATGTACCCATATTTTCGGAGAATTATGCTTATAGTAAATGGTGCCTCAAAGAACTTGTGGCGATTGTTGAGCGCCAAGAGGGCAACCAGGGTTGCATCATACTACCCATTTTTTACATGGTGGATCCCAAAGATGTCCGACATCAAAGTGGGCCGTATTGGAATGCATTTGAAGAACACAAGAAGAATTTCGATGAAGAGACCGTTCTAGTTTGGAGAGACGCTTTAAATAAGGTTGGAGCTATGAAGGGATGGTATGTCAAAAGCAGTGATGAGTAAGTAACCTCACCCTCACTCGCACCTTTTTTTTATTGTTTACCAAATTACTCATTGTCAGATTGGATATTACTTTCACTTCTTGTCCCGTGGTTGAGATAATTGGGCATCTTATTTTTCCAGGCAGGGGGCTATAGCAGATCTTGTTACTGGGGATGTATGGTCACACCTGAGTAAGAACAATAATGTGTTGGAGACTGATAAGTTGATCGGAATTGATGGTCACATAGAAGCAGTAGAAGAAAGGATGACCCTAGACTCTGACGGTGTGTCAATTGTCGGCATTCATGGTATTGGCGGTATAGGTAAGACAACTATCGCCAAGGCTTTCTATAACAAAGTATCTGCTCAGTTTGATCGTTGTAGCTTTGTGGAAAGCGTACGAGAAATGTTACTTAAGAAGGATGGTGTTATGACTTTGCAAAAGCAGTTAATCTCAGACATCCTGAGGAAGAATTCTGTTGAATCCATTGCCAATATAAGTGAGGGTATAAAAGTTATAAGAAATAGGATTACTCGTTTCAAATGCCTTATTGTTCTTGATGATGTGGACGAGAAGTTTGAAATTGAAGAGGTGTTGGGGAATATCGAGAATTTTGTTTCAGGAAGTAGATTTGTCATGACTTCCAGAAATGTAAAAGTATTGAGTACTTTGACTACAGAGTGCAAGCTGTATAAAGTACTAGAAATGACTCATGGCCACTCACTCCAACTCTTCTGCAAGCATGCCTTCAAAATGGATTCTCCTCCATCAGGTTTTGAGACTTTGTCAAAAGATATTGTCTCTGTTGCAGCAGGACTTCCATTGACACTTAAAGTTGTAGGGTCTCTTTTATTTCAAGAGGAGAAAGTGATTTGGGAAGACAAACTGAGACAGTTAAAAGATATTCCAGAGGAGGAGGTTGTGGAAAGGTTAAGGATAAGCTATGATTCCTTAAACGAAGAGGCAAAGCAGATTTTCTTAGATATTGCTTGTTACTTTGTTGGAGACGACAAAGAGATACCTTCTTATATGTGGAGTTCTTGTGGGTTTTTCCCAGTAACGAATATCAATATTCTTAATCAGAGGTCTATGATTGAGATTGTTTGTGATATTGAAAAACAAAAAGTGTTCCGAATGCATGATCAACTCAGAGATATGGGTAGGGAAATTGTACGTCAAGAAAACAAAAGACATCCATGGAATAGAAGTAGGATATGGTCCGAGGAGAAAGCTATGGACATGTTACATAACAAAAAGGTAATACTCCTGCGTCTTACTATAGTTACTTTTAGATTTTTTAATGTGTCTGATAGCCACAAGCTCTGAATATTTACTGTCAAAATTGGCAGATGTTGATTCTACGTTAAGTAGGTCCTAGTTACCAACTCACCAACTTAAGCCTTATGAATTTTGAATCATAAATTCTTATTCCAAGGAGTAAAATCTGAAATTAAATTTCTCGTATTGATGTTTGTTTTAGCTTTTAAAATTAGGGTCCAACTTGAGTCCTCGGTCTAAACTTAAGAGATGCATCTGATTTGTATGATTTTTCAACTTAAAACTTCAGGAATTAATGATAGGATAACATGTTTTAGGTAAGCGAAAACAACTACTACAAACATGATGAACCTCTGTAGTGAAGACTTATGGTTTCTTTCCTATTGGTTATTGATTTTTTATTTCTTTTTTACAGGGAACAAACATAATTGAATGCATTAGAATGAACTCCTCATCCGGTGATGGTGTTGTGGAGGAGCTTGAGATTGTGGGGAACTTTGAAAGTGAATGCTTTATGAATTTATCAGAGGTGAGATTCATTGACGTACAAACTAAGATGCTCCCTAGCGACTTCGCTGATTATCTTCCAAATTTAAGATGGTTTCGATGGAAGTTTGGATACTGTGGGTGTATGCCTAAGTTTCATGCGGAAAATATGGTGATTCTCGAACTCTTAACCCCGGTGAAAGATGATTGGGGAGGTTTGAGACATCTCATGAAGGTATGCACTATTGTTAATGACAGAGCACTTAAGGTACTTGTTTAGTTTCTTAATTAGTAGTTACTGACTTACTGTTGTACATGTTTTTGTTTTCCCTTGTTTTTTAAATTTCTAAATGAAGATGGCGAGAAAGCTCAAAGTTTTGAAACTTGTGGGTAAGTTCTTGATAGAATATCCCGACTTTCCACGGAGTTTAGAGATATTGTATCTGCAGGATTTCGGGCCTCGGTTGTCCCATAAGGATCTGGATATTGGGAACTTGAGGAACCTAAAAGTTCTGCATCTATGGTTTTGTGAGGTAGGAGAGATAAGGGGTGGAACCATTGGGATGGTGAAGGGGCTTCAAGAGCTCAATATCATCCATTTAAGGGTTGAGGAGAGTCTGAGAGCAACACTTGCCGATATTGGGGATTTGCAGTTTCTTGAAATCTTGAGAGTAGATGTAATCGCTGATGTGGGATTGGCATCAGTTTACGAGAATTTGTTACTGAATACTAAGCTTCCTACAAGTTTGAAGGAGCTGGAGACTACATCTCCAGTGGCTAACCTTCCAGAGCTGGTGGAGTTGGAGGAACTAGTCATTCGATATTCCAAGTATGGGCTTGGGATCCCTCCAGCACACAGTAGTTATATGTGGTGCAAGTCATCCAAATTGAAGTCTCTGACTCTGCAAGAAACAAAGATGATGACAATGGCAACTAATACATCTAGTCCTTTCTTGCCGCTGCTTCCATCGTCAACTGGGTATGGTCTTGAGATCCCTCCAGTAGACATTAGTGATATGTGGCGGAAGCCATCCAAATTGGAGTATCCGACACTGCAAGAAACAAAGATGACGATGCCAACTAATACCTTTAGTCCTTCTTCCTTGCCGTTGCTCCATCACATGTTGGAGTTGGAGACATTGAAACTAGTTCAATCTGGGTATGGGCTTCAGATCCCTCCAGCAGCTAGTAGTGATATGTGGTGGAAGTCATACAAATTGAATATTCCAACTCCTTATAAAAAAAAGATGACTATGCCAACTCCTTATAAAAAAAAGATGACTATGCCAACTAATACCTCTAGTACTTCTTCCTTGCCGCTGCTTCCATCGTCGCTGACCACCCTTCACATCAAGATATGTCCAAAACTGAAGTGGCTCCCAAATCTAAAGAATCTGGAATACTTGACTCACTTATACATCTCAGGATGTTCCTTGCTTAATGACATCCCTGGTCTTGGAGGGTTGAAATCCTTGATAAGTCTGAGTCTAAGTGATATGAAAGCTTTATGCAATCTGGATGGTCTTGATAGTCTCTATTCTTTGACATCCTTGACACTAGAAGGCTGTGATGCACTGGGAAGACTGCCAAGCATGGCATCTTTGAAGCAATTGAAAAAGTTATCCGTCAGTAATGCTCCATATCTGCGGGAGATTGGGGGCCTTGTCGGCTTGAAATCCTTGGAACATTTAAATCTGTATAGTTGCAGATCTTTGGAAAGACTTCCTGTTGATGAGCTATCTAGTTTGAAGCACTTGAGGAGGGTAGAGATCAAAGGTTTCTCGCAGATCAGCTCCAATACTATCTCCTCTCTACGAAAACTAGAGCCGAATGTTAAGATAATTGTTGAGGTACCGCTGCCACCACCTTAACTCATCTCCATTGGCTTCGTTAATCTCCTATCTCTAAACAAGCTATGAACTTTAATTATATGGGAGTGTCCTCGTCTTGCAGCACTATCTTCCCCTGACCAACAGCTTGATGGTGGTGGTTTGAGTTGTGACAGCCAACCAGTACTTGACTCGTTACAAAGGTTGTCCGTAAATGGATGTGAGTCACTGCTACAAGGTAGTTTCTGCCAGATGCTTCATCTGTCTAGGTTTCCGAGGCTTGTGGTGTTGGAACTTGGGCAGACGTAGCCTCCTAATGTGGCGAACGAATTGCCGCTGGAGGGACTCGAGTCCTTGGAAGAGTTAGCTACTCTGCGGTTGCTTCGCTTGGCTACACAGAAATTACCTTCCCTGTTAAAACTGCAAAAGTTGAACGAGTTGACTGTCATTAATGCTTCTAATTTGTACGAGATTGAGGGCCTTGCAGATATGAAATCCTTGCAAATCCTACACCTCGTGAGATGCACATCATTGGAAAGATTGCCCAAGGGACTGCCTGGTTTGAAGCATTTGCGAGAGTTATGCCTCCAAGGATGCAGAAACTTGAGTGACCTCTCTGCTTTGTCCTACCTACCGCCTGAAGTTACTGTACGATTGCCAAATTCTCTAGTCTCGTACAGCTCATGCTCGAGCTCGGATTTTGTGGTGCAACGCAAGATCCAATCTTTGTCGTCTCCAAGTATTGGATTTTTCAACCACCGACAGATCTCTGTTCTCCATCGTAGAGTATGTCGTATTTAGCGGTATTTTAAGTATAAAATGCCCTCCATACAACCTCCGGTATGGTTTTATAATCTTTCTTCATCTTCCGACGATTAGTCTGGCGACTGACCAGTTGGGTTGGAGTCACTTGGAGATAACATCAACGGGGAGAGAATCAAAGTGTCGATTTGGAGGTCAATCCTTGACGACTGGATGAGTTCCATTTTCTTGATGTTCCTCCTCTTTGACTGGCAGGCTAGCTCCACCCGCCTCCAACTTCTTCTATCGCCTTGTAAGTGTTGAAAACATTCTTTTGAGCAACGATTATGTGGAGATAAGTTCAAGAAATTAACATGTATTGATGATATATTGAGGCTATTACCTCTTATTCACATCCATGTCTGTCGAATCGGTTCTTTCTTTAAACATGTATGATATTTGCTGCAATGTTACATTTCTGCAGCTACTGAGACATTCGGCCTGATCCTTTCACTAGTCTTGACTATTAAGGCCACCTGATATCGTTGAGAAGATAGTTGCTATTCTTAGCTGTGCATTTTAATGTTGAACTCTTGTGTCTCTGCATGTGCCTCTAATTTCTCTTGCTTGGACTCTGTGTGGTGTGTGCGCCCAAGCATGATACCGAGAGAGCGATTTGATGAATTTGGCCGAGGAAGATTCCAGGTTATGGTCAGATGTTTTCCTGAAAAGCAGTGGCATAATGTCTAGTAGGTCTCAATATGAGAGTGCTACTGTGAGGAAGCACAACACTAACACGCCCCTTCAAACGAAAGTCACTCACAAGGGCTTGAAGTTTGCTAAGGTTTGAAGATAAGAATATCATGTGCTTAACAAATGGGGGCAACCGGGAATCGAACACAAGACCTCTCGGTCACAGAAGGCTCTGATACCATGTCAAGAACCAGTTGCTCCCAATAATTGGGAGCAACTGGTTCTTGACACTTTGTTGTATGATCATTCTGCAATACACATGATTCTAATGCTTTGCCATTGTGTGTTGCGCTATGTGACATGATGCTCTTGGAAGGTAACGGGCACTGACAATTACTTGGACTGTTAAACTAATTTTAATGACCATGAATGTGATAAATATTTTTAGTGCCAAATGTGAATTTTTTTAAAGCAATTATAGTGAAACTTGCAATTTACCCCAAATAGAAGAAGCATGTTCGGGCTGCTTCTGTTCCCCCTATTCTCTATCGACCCCCAACATTGCCACTCAAGCTTGAGAAGCCACCGCTCTTCAATTCGACGGCGAAGCGTGAGGTCTGGTCGCCTTTACGTCTGGAGAAGGAGATATCGTCTGGAGCTGCAAAGAAGAAGAAGGTCATCAGAGAGCTCGTGTGTGATAATTTTGCATTTTATAAAGCAAAAGCTCTCATCTCTTTCTTCTCTCCGACACAAGTCGAAGAACGAACTCGAAAAAGGCAAACCCCACATGCTCAATAATAAGATATAATTTCAACTTCACGAACAACACGAGAATATATCGGTATAGTCTAGTTGTGAATAACTTATTCGTTAGTGACAGCCTCAACTATACACCTACAAAAATAACTTATTTGCAGGTAACCATAATGAACACAGTAGTAACCACAATCACACGGACCAAACAAACATAGACCGTTAGAATCTTTTCCCAGCCGCCACTATTTGGCCACGGCTCGCGCATGCGACGTAGGCATCCCTCCACATTAGACGAATATTTTTGTGGCGATACACCCAAAATTTTCTATTTCCGGTACAATCTAAATGAAAGCCAAAGCACAAACAAAGTACCAATATCCTGGCGATCGAACAACAACGTTACATACTGCGACATTTTCTGCATGGATCGGGAATATTTTGCCGAACTGGTCAAGTATAAATGAAACCGAAGCAAAACGGCATTCTTATATGTAACAAGGAAAAAATGAGTTCATCTTCACGGAATAAATATAATAAGGTGACCATGATTGTGGTGGCGGCGGTTGTGTTAGTGGTGGTGTCGTTGAGAAGTCAATCGGCGTCGGCCAACGTAATAAGCTGCCTTTGCAACGATGAATTTTTCGACTACGACGATCCGCACATTGAGTGTGAATATCTTCTGTTCGACAAATTGGTCGGGGATGCGCGTCCGGTGAAGCAGGGTGCTTGGTACCTGCACGTGACCTGCTCCTCCGATGATTCGGTTATTGTCTACGGTTACCGGCGGATGGACGAGGGCGCGACGGACTGCATTTCTGAAGCCGAGGATGACATCGTTAACAGGCTTTGCCGTCACAGAACTGGAGGTCAAGCGTGGGGAGATGGCTGTTATGTGAGGTTCGAGATCTACCCGTTTGAGCTCTGATGTCCATCGATCAACTATTTATATATGTACTAGATAATTGGCCCGCGCTCCGCAGCGGTTTATCTAAAATGTATATGCTAATTAGAAATAAAGAACAGTTTTGTTTTTAATGAAGGTGAATGTTATTAGAGGAAATAAAAGTTTGAAGAATTAATTTTTGGAATACGAATATAGTTTTTGAAAGAATAATTTTTTCAAACTTCTAGACACACATTACAAAATCAATAATAATGAAATCAAACATTGTTGGTCGTTAAACTTGAACCGAAGCTAATGATAAGCTTTTATATGTAATGACCTTTAAACTTAAACAACGAACAAACTGACGTTGTACTAAAGCATTGTTGCTTTAAAGTTCAACTTGAAAATGTATCATAGTTCTATCATTACGTTAAAAGTACAAATTGAAGTTATACCATAAGGGAAATTGTATCTTTATGATATGGTACAACTTCCAATGATATCATAACATAAAGGTACAACTCTAATTTGTATAGTAAAAAGATTTATACAAAAGATTATAGGTACACTATATATTGAGGCAATAGCTCCACCATTACACTATAATTGAGTTGTGTTCAAAGAGTTCTCTGATTCTATGTAGTTCTTCGACCCCAATTAAATATTTTTCTGGCTATGCCAATGATTGTAATCATTGAGAAATTTGTATCATAATGTTAAAGGTAGACTTTGAAGTTGTACCATAAAAATATTTTTATTTTTACTTTATGGTACAACTTCAAAATGTATCATAACATAAATGTACGTAGTAGAGCCAACATGCATAAGCATCTCATATCACATCAAATTCTAAGCCTAATCTCTCTTAATTTCAATAATTTCTTTACTTAAATTGACCAATTAACAATTGAAGGAATTCTTCCAGTATCATGTGCAAATAAAACCTCCATATTGTTTACGTTAGTGCCAAACGAACCAAGCCTGATTATTAAAAGCCTAAAAAAAAAGATTGAAGTCAAGCCTTGAGGGAGCAGCAAGGATCCTATTACCCATGCAGTTTTTTTTATGTAACTTATTAACTACTCTCATTTTGGTGAAGGAGAAATTTTACTTGTGCACAATTAAACCAAGGAGAAGGTTTGGTGTCACTTAAAAGCCACGGCACCTAATTTATATATTTTTGCGTTTATTTACGTAAATTTGTGCGTCATATTAGTTGGTTTTTCACACAATCAATCATATTTATTCATAAAACCTAGTTTCTATTCACCATTGCTGTCAAAGCCGAACTGAGCCGGCCGGCCGGACCGTCAAAGCCGCTACCCGGTCGTAAAACCGGCTCGGATCAGCTATTTAACCGCCACGGTTTTATACAGCGTCCGGCGAGCGGTCGAAGCGGTTAACCGCTCGAGCCGGTCGCGCGGTTCGGCCGTTTGGTTTACCCTGAAAAAAAAATAGAAAAGGCTAATCGTGGAATCGACCGTCAACACCTCTTGTCCCGGCATCGACGCTTCCCGACGGCATCGCCATCCCCAGTCGCCATCGCATCGCCATCGCCAGTCCTTGTTGTATCAAGCAGCTCCCCGCTCCCGGCGCTTCCATCCCGTCGCCACCGTCGCAAGCATCTCCCCGCTAAGTGCCCTGTCTCACCAGAGGCTTGGATTGAATCCGAGCCATTTCGCGGATTGGGACGAGGAAGAGCATTTACAGGTTAAGAAAGGATGAGGAAGAATTGAATGTGGTGATGGATTTTTGAGGAATTGCAGAAGGCTATAGTGGCTGAAAAATGAAAATAGGTGCGACGGTGGGAGAGGAGGAAGGAGAGAGGGAGGGGGGATGGGGAAGCGGAAGGAAGGAGAGTGATGGGTGGGGAAGCGGCGCTGTCGCTTAGGATTAGGTTAGGGTTTTTTTTAGTTGTTGTATATATATGTTGTGTAGAATTATTAAATGGTATCTGTAATTATCATTTTTACTCATTAAATCATTGAATTGTTACTTTATGTGTGTTCTACTATGATATTATATTGTTTATAATGTACCGGTTCTCAAACGGTTTTTAAACGGTCTAATGCCGGCTGGACCACTAATGACCGAGCCGTTCACGTTACCGGGTCATACTCCGGCTCGGCTTTGACAGCATTGCTATTCACACATATTGTTATTTATTCACATTATTATAAAATCAAATTTTGTTTATTCACAATATTATAAAATTAATTTTTAAACTTTGAAATATATCAAAATGGATGTTATTGTGTAGATTATGATAATACAACTCATTTTTATAGAAAATTTTATAATTTAAATTTAATTCCATAAAATATGATTAATACAAATATCATAAATAAATGTATGAATTTCCATTTACATAAATAACCAACACTCTTACGTGAATACCGTATTACGATATTAAGCACCGGCGCGATTCAGCAAAAATGAATGCATTAGATGATGTGGCTTTTAGACGCCACCAAACCATTTCCTTAAGCGAAACAATGAAATCCGAAATCAATGTGAGAAAACTAATTATTGTACATCATGTCAGTGTAGGATAGGTGGCATCCCCTCGATGCTACGTGGAACAGTGGAACTCATGCAAATGGGAAAGGGAGTCGATCCACAGTACTAATTAGAGCTTGGGGGAAACAGCTAAATAATAATGTTTATCCAACTATCAAATAGATGGATAGAGGCAGGTTTAATAATTCGGCAAAGTGGTGAAACATGGGAGTAAAAAATGCACCGGACTCCGATGTCGGCGTCGGTCTTAATTCTCTCATGTCAATCCGCTATATAGTCTGCGGGTTCATGCGGCTTAGAAGGAACGGTAACGATTAGTGAAGGAAATTTTTTTGGTAACTGGCATGGAATGGAAGCCCACGGCGGCCGTCGGTTTCTTCCATCTCATATGCCAAATTGCTACTCTGTTCTCGATTCACATCTTTCGGTGGGATTCCAATCACTTACTTTTTATTGTCTGTGATTCTCTGCCCAACTTGATGATATGGAAACGTCGAAATAATCAGAAAAGCAATCGGTGGGAAAACAGGGGAGGATGGACGGGAAACTACGCGGAGAAGGAAGGGGTGGGGAAAAAGGGGCAATCGATCTTGCATGAAGGAAACGACGGAGTGGAATAACAATGTGTAATTGTGGAAAGATGTGCACATAAACTAAGCGTGGACGCGTCCGTATCCTACTGGAC